TTTTTGTATTTGTTATATGTATCTATATACATAAGTTATTTTTACATAAACGGCATAAAATTCTCGAAGAAGAAATTCATATTAATTCTAAAAATTCTGTGATACTCTTACATATTAAAGGGGATGCCGTGTCTTGATCGATAATCATATATAAATAATTTCCTTTAATTAAATAAAATGAAATGCTTCAGATTTCCACTAGAGTTTAGTTATAATCTGCTAGTTTTTTTTATTAAATGTTATTGTGAGAAAGAACAATAAACTGTTCAATTTAATATTAAAAAGACATTCTTTAATATTGAAACACATCTGCTATAACTCAACTGTTGGGCGTCAGATATAAAAGTTAATGTTGTAGTTAGGAACAATATTATTTATTAAAACAGCAAAACGAATTGCTGTTAACTCTAAGGTCATAAACTTAAAATTTCTTTGTTCATTAAATTTACTTTTATATTATAAAATTTAATCCACATTATACAGAATAATATATAAAATTCTATTGATTTTTTTTTTAAATTTCATATAAATTATAAAATATATTTTAAACAATAAATTATTATGATATCCTATAATTGTTTAGAATAAATTTTTTTTTTTTAAATATTATAAATTTAATGTTGTTATTTTAAAATAAAGTTTTATTTTTATTTTTAGAAAATTAATGAACTCTAATATTATTGAAAGACATGAAAGGCATATAAAATATATAGCATCTATATATAAAAGATATAAGCATAAAAACAAATCATCATACATATAGTTTTAATTATTTTAAAAATATATTATATTAGGCATGTGTACACTCTGTCTATTTTCATATAGCATAATTACATTATAAATATCTATATATATATAATATTGACAATAGAATCTCTAAAAATTTACCATACTCATAATAGTCTATACAATATTAATTTAACGAGAGTATATTTAAAAGCAATCCATTATTTCCCATAATTAATTTGTTTATATAAATATTAATAAATAATAAATAATAATAAATATTAATTTAATTCATATTTTAAATAGTACATATATATTAAAATTATAGCTTTTTTATCCATTTAACAAGAGAAATATGAACACAGATATTTTATAACTGTTCACTTCAAATCAGTTTGACATATCGTGACTTCAAATCAGTTTGACATAACTCAGGATGTCATAGATTTGTAATTTGGTTACAAAAAGGTTTATATTTAAAGAATTTATAAAGAAATTTATTAAATTATTCGAAAGGAAAACCAAAATTTCTAAAAAATTTTACAGAAATTAACATATAGAATATGACATTTTGTCGAGACTCAACTGTATTATGCACATTATGCCTATACAATTTATATACACGTAAGAGAAAAATAAACTTTCTGGGACATAAATTTCTTTAATAATATTATTTATTATAATATTTGACAATAATAGAAAATTTCTAAACTACAATTATAATTTAAAAAATTAAAAATAAATATATAAGTAATTTTTTTTTAACTAACTTATTCTCTTCTTCCTTGTATAATTCCTTTTCATATAAAGAAGTAAAAAAAAAATTCACTTAAATTTTTAAAACTACGCAACTGCGTACAGCTGGAAACAATTTTTCATTATTCTTATTTAAAATTTCAATTTAGATTTTTTTTTTTTTTTTTGCTTTTTTTGGAAATTTTTTATTCAAATTTATTTTTAAATTTTCATTTAATTAAACACAATTTTCTTTTTGTACAAAATAAACTTTTGATTTTTGTTAATTAATTTTATTTTGAAACTTTTCTCTAATTATTTTGTATTAATTTTAATTAAAAATAAATTAATTTAAAAAAAAAATTTTTTTCTTTTTTTTTTTTTTATATATATATAAAATATATTTTTATCTTCAAAAGATCACAGACAAGTTATTTTTAAAAGAAAAAACGAATATTTATTTTATTCTGATTTTTCAATTTATTTTTCATCCGTACACGAATTCTGCTCAACAAAGACTGATCGGATTGATCATTAAAAAGGAAGGAAAATTCTAAAATGAAAAATTTTAAAAAACCAAAAAAAAATAAAGAAAAACTCTTTGAAAACTTAAGACAAAACAACAAAATTTTAAATTTTCGTGAGTACTATACACAAAATGAACATAATTTTATAATAAATTTCTTATTTTTATAAAAACTTTTTAATAATACTATAGTTTTGCTAACATGTTTATTATGTATATGTATGTAATGTATAGATAAAAAGTTTAAAAATTATAGTATATTTACTTTAATTCATTACAGCACTTTTTATACTGAGCGGGAAAACAAAAATAAATTTTGTGGTATAATCAATCAATTAACTACAATGATATGGTACATTTTCGGTCACTAAATAAAGTGCAGTATTTTATCAGAAGAGATAGTATTTTATACAATGGAGCACTGGTGATATAACTATGTTGATAATTTTATGTTACCCTTACTAATTAAAGAATAAGAGTAAATAATAAAAATTTTTTATTTTCACGCATAACTATTTTTAATGAATTAAAATTAGTTTCAAAATACAAAAATATAGTTTTCAAATTTAAGTACATTTATACATACGTATTATAATAAAACCAATATTGTTTGTGTAGTATATACCATAAAATAAATATTATGTAGGTGCAGCATATTTTATTGATTTTTAAGCAAAATAGTATTTGTATTATGACAAATTTCCTTTTCTTTAATAAAACGGAACAAAGTCATTTCTTGTTTGTTATTCATTTGATAAGAAATGAAAATTTTCGATAAGAAACACATTAACAAATCAATGAATCAATCAATCTACAAATTTACGTATACTTTCTTATGATATACCTACGTTATACATATGAATTTTTTTGAAAATATGTATATAATTGCATTGGGGATCTGGGCTATTATGTAAATATAGGTCTGTCATTTATTCTCTCTAAGACAAATAAGTATTGAATTGAAAATATATTGTTTAGACAAATAAGTGTAAAAATAAGTCATTATTAGATGAATTTCCTACACAATAAAAAATAACCTACCTATTGCAAAATCAATGCGGCCCGTAGCTATTGTTCTTTTCATTAAAACGCTTCTCGTTAAATATTTTTTTAATTTGTATGTAACCCTTAATGTTCATCTTTATATATGAGACTACTAAAAATTAGCATAGTTTTAGGCAGAACTATTTTACTACAAATAGCAAAATAATTTTTAATTGTGATAAATTATTTTATTATAGTTATTATATTGATCAATATAAATTTGATAGAAATTTTCAATAATAAATTTTAATAAATAAAAATTCAATTAAGGAGTTGTTTATGTGAAATTCCAAATATAATAATAGATTTATGAATTTTAATAACCTTTATTTGAAATAATAAATGAAATTTGTTAATGTGCAGTGTAAAACATAATTTATGTAAAAAAATTGGCGATATACATATTTACTACTTTATAAATGGATAGCTTCTTTATGAATGGATCTTTATAAACAAGCAAATTTACCCTTTTTAAGGTCTAGGAGTTAACCGTTTTTACGAAAAACTGTTTGTTTTTTCTACACTTGTAAATAACAGATTCACTAAAGGATTCGTAAATACAATTCAGAATATTATGTACACATTCGGTTGAACGGACATCTCGTTGGACTTCAATAAAATTTCAATTACAATCTTAGTTAGTAAAAATAAAATAAAAATTAATATGAAATATTTTTTATGAATCTTAATAAACAACATTTCTGATTATTTAACTAATATGATATGTTTGTATCTATGTATGTGAATTATAACTGAGTAATCAAAATGTATAAAGTTAAAAATAAAAAAATATTTAGCATTAAAAATGTAAAAAAATTTGGTTGACCTTTTATGTCTCAAAAATACAAAATATGTACATGGTATGTATGCCTGGCATACATAGGTATTTACATACATACATACATACGTACGTACATTATGTATGATACATCTAAATAGTATGTATATGTATAAAATTGTGATTTTCGAAAATATTACCAAAAATGAAATTAAATATTGCAAATTATTCATTTTTTATATTTTAATAAATAGGAGTGAGACATCAACAATATGTTTGCATGTACATGTGTATATCGTTACCAAATAATAAACTAACGAGATAAAATGTAGACACATTGTTTGCACATTGCAAAATACGAAATGGAAAATCTAGTTTTTAAAAATTTTTGCCATAATTGGAAATAATATATGGAGATTATAACTTTTCATTTATGTTTTCTTCAAAATATTAGTTTGGCCTTGCTTCCTTTTATGTTAATAATAATGCAAAAAGTTATTATTGCACAAACTAACCTTATGAATGTAGCTTATCATTTTTATTATTTTTTTTATACAAGCTCTATGGGGTATAGCTAACATTGGATTAAAATGTGTTTACGTACAATAAAACGACAACATATTATATAACAAAAATAATTAATAAAATATATGTATAGTAATATAAATTACTTTTTATAAATATAATATAAAATACCTTTTTAACTGAATGTAGCATCATTGTGGAATTGTAGTCGATAATATCAATTGTAATGCAATTAAAAACTTCAGAATTTTTAAAGATCCATATACAAATTAATTAAGGGAAGCTTTCAAAGCTATCTTCAATCTTCAATTGCCTATCATTATCAAATACACTTCACGTATGATAAATAGTCAAATGCAAATTATCATTTTTAAAGAAAATTATTATTAAGAATTATTAGCAGTTAAACCTTGCATACATGTAATATATACATAAATATAATTTATATGCAGGTTAAAGTTGCTGTAATTTTAAAAAAATTGACAACTTCTATTCTTAAAAAAAAATTGTTATAAGTTTTTTGCTGTGAATTATTAACAAAAGGGAAAATTTAATATGCAAAGTCAAGCGTTTATAGGGGATCAACAAACAAACCATTTAACCATGCCAATTTAATTCGAGAATATGAACTTTTACAAAAATACTAAGATAAGTCAAAATTTTTCTTTGCATTTTTGTTTTATTTTTTTCAAAATTTCAATAAATTTATTAACTAACTATTTTGAATTTTTCATTATTTTTTTCTCTTTCTTCTTGATTTTTTAGAAGATTCATCATCACTATCAAAATCGGCATTTGAATTATTTTTTTGATCCCATTCTTTTTTAAGTTCCTCTAACATAGCTGGTGTTAATAAACCTTGAGCTAACAATCTTTCAGTCAGTCGTCCACCTTTACTAGTTGTTGAACGTGGTTCTGCAATAACAACATATTATCAAAATAAATTAATGTTATGTACAATACTTAAATTATTAAAGGCACACATATTCACACAGAAAAACTCACCTCTTGCATACTGCCTTCTATTGACTGAGTAAGACATTCCTGTCGAATCACCATCTGAGGGATAAGCATTCGATTCTGAGTTTTTAAGTAATTTCGTTATTTGAAAAACTCCTTGCTGTATAGTTTCATCTAATTGCTTCTGAGCAGCACGAATTAAATTGGCATCAGGGAATGCGTCTATGAAACGATAACTGTGATTTATGTAGGTTAGTACATATGTGTACATATGTATGTATGTGTAAAATAAATTATTTCTTACCTTAACCATAAATACAAATCCATAACATCAAAAACGGCCTCCAAATGTACTAAATCTAAAATTGTTTTCGGAAGTGCTAATGGTACACCACAATGTTTTGCAATGAAATCATACGTGATAGCATCATTTTTACTGTATTGCCGAGTAATCTTAGAAAAAAAATAAATCAAATAATTTTTATTGGAATATTTAAAATTTTAATTTTCGACATTATACCTTTAGAAACATTGAACATACAAACGGCATTTTTCTATTTATAGGAGCGCAACAGAAAACATATCTGGCCCTCAATGACAATGGAACATGCTGAATCATTTCAGCTAAAAATTTGAAATCATCTACATTGCACATAAAATACAAGGAATCGTCTACGGTGGATAAATTTACAAAAATGTCCTTCGAATGGTATAAAAATGTGTTTTAGATGGTGAAAATTTTGCTAAAATTATATTTACCATTAAATTACTAAGTGTAGAGCTTGGCAAATGATAACCATACAACTCAATTTGGTCAGCTGTAGGATGCAATCCTGCTTGTGTTAAAGGTTCTGGAGATTTTTCCAGCAATTTACGTAATGTTGGTAAATCTTCTCCTTTAAAAGTTGTGACATAGCCTTTTTCCCATTGAGTGCCATATCTACCAGCCCTGCCCGCTATTTGTAAAGCTTGTGATACTGAAATAGTATCAATTTCTTTTTCGCCTTTTTCATTTGTAGAAGGTTTCATTAAAGAATAAAATATAATTCGGCGAATACTCCTATTTGCAAAAATCATAAATATTAGCAATTTAAACAATTTTAAAAATGCACTCTTACAAGTTTAATCCCATTCCAATTGCATCAGTTGCCACCATTACTTTACAACTATTGTCCGGATCATTAAATTTTGCAGCTTGAGCCAATTTTGTTCCAGGAGGAAGTCCACCGTATATTACAGCCACTTCTTTTCCTCTACAAAATAAAACATAACCAATAAAATAACCATCGATTTGAAATTAATCAGGATTACCGAGCCTCAATTTCCCGTGATACATAATATATATCATTTTTACTAAAGCAAACAATACAATCTCCTGGCATTACATTATCCAGCGTAATTAAAGCAGAATCTTCTACATTTAATTCGGTTAATCTGTCGTAAGTTTTAAGTTCAACGGTTTCGCCCGTAGTTTCGCAAATTTTTGTCAGTAAATTGTAAGCTCCTAGTTCACCACAAACATGAATTTCTTTGGCGATTAACCCTAAAAATGCTCTTGTCCATGCCCATCCGCGTTGAGGGTCCTTAAGCATTTGTATTTCGTCTATAATTGCTATCTCATCTACAAAAAGCATTTTTTAAAAATATTCAAAGTTTTAAAAAGAGTTTTTTTACACGTATTATTTACAGATGTCATTTCCACAGTACAAGCAACGTGATTTGCAGGCTTGTCTTCAGATAAACCAAATCGTCTTTCTTCTCCGGTGACAAGATCGCATGGTGTACCCTTTGAAATATATTGAACATACTACATAAAACAAGACAAATTTGAATGATTTTTTTATTATCATTACCCTTTCATTCGCTTTATTAAAAACTTCAGTGGCAAGTAACTTTAAAGGTCCACAATAAACTCCCGATTGTGCTGTTAGAAACTTTTCCATTGCATTATATGTCTTGCCAGAATTTGTTGGCCCAGCATGAAATATAATTTTTCGAACAATAGCTCTGGCACTTGGATACCAGTCAGCTGGAGTACGTAGATCCGAGATTTTCTTTAAGTCATCCATGCATTCTAAATGTGGAAATATTGTTCGACAATGTCGTAAAAAGAATGGGAATACATCATCTACATGTCCAGCACCTTGCGATATGTCACTTAAAATTACATGTAAATCTACAGGCAAACTTTCAGCCTCTATACAATATCGTCTAAATGAAGCAAAGGCCTGTTGTTGCAAATATGCTATATAAACATTGATATTGAATAGTACATATTTATGGATACACAATTTATTCAACTTACTGTCCATTCCGTTTACTGTGCATAAATCCTTGATTTCTTTTTTTTGAGCAAATTTATTTAGTATTTTCAGTATTTCTGACCTTTCTAATTTACCAGTTAATTCAGCACCAATATTACTTCCATCAGAATTTAGTGGAACTGGAACAGGTTTAAATAAAGTAGAAATATTTGTAACATTAGTTTTTTTCCCACACGCCAAAGGAGGTGCACTTATGGATAACCAATTTAGATGTGCAAGTTTTGATAAGACTACGTTACATGGAAAACATTTTTTTAAATAAAAATTTTGACTTATTATATGCAGTGGCTTAATACCACTTTTATACAATGACATTTTGAATAATAATTTATAGTTTCTATAAAAATTTGAACAAATTTATCTAAAACTTATAAAGACTATGATGCAATTTCATTGCAGTACAAATAAAAATTTTTCCAAAAGAAATTCATAACCTATGAATAACAAAAAAACAAATATCAATATGATTTTGACATCTGTCTATAAACGTAAAATTAACTAAACGAAATTTGTAACTTAACGATTTTTACATAATCGAAGAAATAACTTTTGAATGAAATGAAAAAATGTTTTCTCGCTCCTTCTAATATTTACGTTGGTTATAACTGTCAAATTTTTAATTCTTTTTACTTACCCAGCATTTACACGTACAAGTTACTTGCAAGAAAGTTGCAATACATACAAAAATTTTACTAACACATTGAAATATTTCTACTTGCTTGTTTACTTGCAGTTCAACTTGCAAGAAAATTTTGCTGCCAGTAATTTGAGCAAGTAATTTGACATATTGAGAAATTCACAAAAAAAAATTTGTTGTTTTGATTTTTTTTTTTTTTAATTTAAAATTTTTGAATTTTGTTTTGAAAAAATTAAACTTAGCAAACTTATGGTTTCTAAAATTTATAAACAATTATATATATTGCTAGTTGTTTTCTTCTCAAAGACATTTTCAAAAATTAACTTGCTAAACGCCTACGTCATAATAGCAAGTAATTTGACATTTCGAAAAACTAATTGACAATTAATATTATACAAACTTGCATGCAAGTAACTTGTATGTGTAAATGCTGGGTTATTGTTTTATACTTTGTTGATTGAAATAATTTTATTGATTTTGTTTACTATGTTTCCACTAAATTTTGATCACAGTTAATGGAAATTTTATGAAATTTCCTAAAACATGATGGATATTACTTGAATACATTTGAATTTATGTTGAATTTATATAGATGGATATTACATTTTGAATTTAATTTATTATTCAAGCCATAAAATTTTTATTAAATTTTATTATTCTACATATCGTGAATCAAGTAGTAAATCGTGAAATTTATTTGAACATACAGAAAAATAGTTATTCTATATTTATTTTAATAGTTATAATGCTATATTTACATATAAGTTCTGCTATATATGTATTTAGATACAAATATACAAATACAAATATACAAATAAGTAATACAAAAGAAACCAAATTTTCTTCCAAGGAAACTTGTAAGACTCAGTAAAAACTAAATATCTTGGTATAGTTACGTATATTAATGTTGACTGATGAAATAAAAGTCTCAAAACACGTAGCTACATATATGTGAAGCTATGCGTTTTCAGACTGTCAAAAAACTGTAGTTACGGTTTTCTAGTATGTTCTATACTTGAGAAAACTTTGAAAGAAGAAAACAATGACGTGATTTCTCGCAAAAAAAAAATCTCATTTAAAAAAAAACCGGATGAAAAAGTTGAAAAAAACTTTTAAAAACTTTATAAATAGGTGGTAAACGTCAAATTTCAAAATATCAAAAATAAATAAAAATTTTTGGGTAATCAAACAACCGAAAATTTTGCTTTTGGATTATAAAAGTACAAAACTTTGAAATAATCATTTTTGAATCCATTTTGTTTATTTTATTTTTATTTAAAAAGTTTTGAAAAAAAAAATTATTGTTGATGAAAACTTTTTTTTTTAAATAAAACGTTTTGACATAACCAAGAAAAGCATATGTTTCGACAGCTGTAAGATTTCAAAAACTAAATTTTACTTTACAAAACTTGAAAACTTCACCATCTTATATATTTTTCCAGACGGTTTGCTTCCAAAAACTTTGGAAAGGTTTTTCACATTTCATAAAGTTTTTAAAAACGTTCTTGTACCATACGTATGGGTATGTTTCGAAATAAAACATTCCAATAAAAAGTCTTTTTAATTTTGAAATATATTAATGTTTAATATGTTTACGTAATTCCTTTCAATAAGAATTTTTTTATTCTATAACGAATATCAAAGAATATTTTATTTATAACGACTGAAAAATAGATTTATAGCTTATATTGGTATTTCATGTTAAAATCCTAGATGTCTAGAGTTTCAGTTAAAAAATCGAATGTTAAGAAATGTCAATTTTGAAAAACGTTTTACTTTAATATTCGTTTAGAAATCGATATTTTTATCCTAATATCGATCGAACAAAAAAATATGTGCAACCCTTTGAGTATTAAAAGTTTTCATTTAAATTTGTCACAAGATAATTCTTCCAATTATTTAAAAAGAAAAAATGAATAGTTAAATTATTTAGATAATGACGATATTTTAACAATTTTTATCTCCGTAGTTTTTAGATTTTAGATGGAAGATGACTTCAGAGAGGTTTGTAAAGTGTTAAAAGAAATTTAGAAATCAAAGGCAAAAATAAATACTGTCAAAATCAATATTTCCCTTGAAATTATTGAAATTTATTTCGAAAATTTATTGGGCGTGACATAATTTCAGAATTTTGCGAAAATAATTAAATTATTATTTACTTAAATGAATGATAATGTTTTAATTTTATTGTTACAACTTTTTTTATAGGATAGAATGGGTCGAAATAATCGAACCCAAAACAAAGGAAGTGATGTATGCGAATTTAACGACAGGAGAATGTGTTTGGGATCCTCCAGAAGTACGTATTATTGTTTTTTTTACAATTGAGAAAAATAAGAATTGAAAATATTTTAATTTAATAGGGCGTACCAATTAAACGCACAGACTCATCACAATGGTGGGAGTTATTTGATACTAATACACAAAGGTTCTATTATTATAATGTAGCTTCACAAACAACAGTTTGGCATCGTCCTCAAAATTGCGATATAATCCCATTAGCTAAACTACAAACACTTAAACAAAACGATGAAAGAAAGGACGGTTGCACGCAAACTTCACATTCAAGAGTTCGATCCCATAAGAGTAACAGCGTGAACAGCAATAAAAATTCAAGCGCAGGATTAGATACAACGCAGAGGCGCCAACACTCATCTTCTCCTATATCACAAACAGAACGTCGGAGTAATTCGGGTTATGATGCAAGGGAATCGGAACTTTTATCAAGCCCTCACGGACGACATAGTTATCGATTGCCATCAGGTGATCCAGGATTACCTTCGGGTAAAGCATATTGTAGACATTCTCAGGGTTCAACGTCACGAAGTCACAAACCTAAAGAATCAGGAAAATCTAGCGATTCAAGTATTTCAAGTGCACAAGGTTATCGAAGATTAAATGAAGGCGGTAGTTTAAGAATTTCAAATAGTCACAACAATAAAAATCGGAATTTATCAGAAAAGTACATACATATTTTAACTGAATATTTAAAATCAATGATTTCATAATAAAATTTTTCAATATTGTTTAGTTATCGCATTTTGCAAGAAAGCGCTAGTTCTCAAAATATTCCACACAGCCCTCATGCTGGGAGCGAAAAGCAAGGCCAACAGCATTATCAACTGCACCCTAAGCTCTCCTATTCTATTTCAAATTCTTCAGATCTTGGAGGAATATCTCCAACACGATCGGCAAACACTCCAATATTGAAGAAAAAATTATCTTCAGAAACTTCGATACATGGAAATGTAGGAAACAATAGCAAACGTGATTCATCTGGTTCTATGTCAAAACATCAAAGCATAGATTATCCCTCTGCAAGTAAGAGTATATGAAATTAAACAATGAAAAAAATAATTTTATTAAAACTGAAAAATAAATCTTCTCTTTTAGATGCAGCAATTGTTTCTTTAACTCGTTCTGGTAGTTTTATGGCATCTCCTACATCACATCATTATATTCATCAGCATGGAGGGCCTCTCCATCATCAACGCAAATCAAGTATTGATGGTAATGGCGGTGGCGCAAGTGATGACTCAATGCATGAGAAGTATTTTAAATCTGTAGAAAATACTCCGATATCAAGACGTCGTCATACGACCTCATCCAAGTCTAGTAATAAAAAACATTCAAGTGATTCAAGTCCCCAGAGTCCAATTAGTCCCCAAAACCAAGTAAATATTTTGTTAAGTGTTATTATAAAAGGTTTATACATATAAAATTACTTACAGAATACCAAAACGGCTAGACCATCGGTTTTAAGTAGTCTTTCTGGCCTAGAACCACCTCAACCTGGAATGGCATATAATGTATTATCTAGTCATAAAAATCATTCTGAATTATTAAATTTAGATTTAGCTGGCAGACCAGAAAAGTATCTAGATAAAATGAGACTTGAAAAACGTTCACCTGGCTCTCATATTACACATTCATCGAATTCTCCGTGTGGAACTCTTCCTGGCGGAGTTACTGGCCCCGATACTTTACCTAGGAAAAGTGCTTTTGTCAAAACATCACCTTCCCCCAGTAGTAATAAGCATACGCCCTCTTCTAGTCAATATCCTTCAAATAATTTAGCTTCACTGGCTCATCAACCCAGTCTGGTAGATTTTGCATTTTATATTTGTAATTCAATTTTAGAAATAATTCTATGGATATTATTTTAGGATCAATATTTAAGTAAATCAAATATAGATCGTCACAACAAAGAGGTGAAAAATGTTGAAAAGTCTTCCGGTAAACGTAGAAATAAAAAACATTATAATCACGCAGATGCAAGTGATGTAGAATATGATAATGGAAACATTTCCCCCCTTTATAGCAATTGGGATCAAGTATGAAAATAATAGTAGAAATTTTATTTTTATAATGCAGGAATATTTTTTTTATTATGCAGGAAATGCAGGAACATTTGTTACCGTTGCAACATTATATTTTAGAACAAGCGAAACTATCGGGGTTTTATGGTTTTGATCCGCTCGATTCCGACTCATATCACTCTGATAGTCAATCAGAACATTCCTTTTCAGGACACGAGCCTGATAACGAAGATTCTGATCACTCTGATGGACATGGTGATTACCTAACACATAGTTATGGTTTAATAGATGATTATGTGTCGAACGTTGGTGATGGTGTTTCTTATTACGCTTACCAATATGGTTTCGACAAGAGTGACAGGGAGGATTTGTATGTCTAAAGCTTATAGTGTTATTGCACATATAAAATATATATATTTATTACATTTCAGGTCAGAAAATGTTGAAGCTGTGCTTGAAAGTGAACGTGAGAATACTCAAATATATAATAATATACCAAGAAATCATCAGTTTAAGATCTCACCGCCGTCACCAAGGAATGTTGCGCAGGCAACTCCAACACAAAGAATTCAAATTCAGTATCATCAGCAATACCAAAAATCTACAGAACCAGTGGCTCCATCACCCCAACCCCGAAGCAATTTTGATGTGATTCCCGATATCAGGGAACCACCGACATCGACTAAAACTGATACAATCAAAGCGAAACAATCAAACACTGAAACTAAGGATAAAAAAGAACCAATTTCAATACTTAAAAAATCTGGTTTTCCTTTCCACATTCCACCCCCAACCTCCACAAGAAGTAGCAGTAGTGGTATTGGGAGCTTGGGTGGAACACCTTTACCATGTATGAAAGAATGTGATATCGAAAAGTTCGCCCAAGATAATCTTAATCTTCATTCAAAAGGAATATTTAGAAAAAAAGTAAATAAAAGTAAATTTTTTTTATAAAGTTATTAATTTTTTCATTTTTAGTCATCGATTCGAGATATGCTTAGTTGGACGGCAGAGTCTATCAGTAGGCCTATGTTAACATTAGCTCGAGATAAGGCTGGGAAAAAAATGGCTACCGAGTTATTTAAACTTGTTCAAATTTATATGGGAGATAGAAAAGCAAGAACTGGTATGAGCCTTAACTCAGTTGCGATCGATATTATTACGACAGCTTTAGCTCAACAACAGTAAATAATAATTATTTAAAAATCACCAATCATTCTTTTGATTTCTTCTCTTTAGATTAAGAGACGAAATGTATGTTCAGTTATGTAGACAAACAACAGAAAATCCAAAAAGGGAGTCTTTGATAAGAGGTTGGGAGCTAATGGCAATTTGTTTGTCTTTCGTTCCTCCTTCACCCACATTTCAACCAGCTTTGCTTAAGTATTTGGAAATTAAAATTTAAAATGAAGTTATTTAAAATTTTTAAATTTTTTTTTAGTTATGTGAATCGTCATAGAGATCCAACATTCGCTACAACTTTTCCAGAAGTTGGAAAATGGCCAATTCACGTTCAAATATCTCATTATGCTACCGTTTGTTGCAGACGCCTTGATCGCATTGGTAGTTCTGGTAGAAAGCAAGCTAAAAAACCATCTGATGACGAAATAGAACAAGCAAGAGTAAGTATCTTAAAATTTTAATAATTTTTTTATTATATGTTTTGTATTATTTAGGCCCAGATATTAAGAGATAGTATGTTTGGAAATACAATTGAAGAAGTCATGCAATTACAAAAAGATAAATTTCCAGATAGAAAGCTACCTTGGATTCAGGTTACTTTATCTGAACAGGTAGGTGACCTTATCTTTTTTTCTTCAAGATTTTTTTGTATAATTAGTTTTTTAACATATAAGGTGCTATTGTTAAGTGGAAAACAAACTGAAGGTATATTTCGTGTACCAGCTGATATCGATGAAGTCAATAATTTAAAGAGTCGTTTAGATAGATGGGAAGTTCCTGAGCATAAATCCACAATGGGTATATCAATTTTGATAATAATTATTAATTCATTATATATAGATATAAAACAACAATATGTAAACATTTATTTTAGATGCACATGCACCAGCAAGCCTGCTTAAATTATGGTACAGAGAGTTATATGATCCTCTTATACCAGACGCATTATATAATGAATGTGTACAGACCGAGGATCCTGTTGAGGCTGACAGGATAATTAATAAATTACCAGCTTTAAATCGATTGGTATATCCTTTTTAATCCTAAAATACTCAACTATTAGAAATATGAACAAAAAATCATGAATATTTCTAATTGAGTTAATGAAAAATCGTATAGAAATTTTTTTTTTTAATATTTTTTTGAAATTTCATTAAAAGTTTGTTTTAAAATTTACATTTTTAGGTTCTAACTTATTTAGTAAACTTTCTACAACAATTTGTTCAACCTGATGTTGTCAATTGCACAAAAATGGATGCTTCCAATTTAGCTATGGTATTCGCTCCAAATTGCCTCAGATGTATGTCGGATGATCCAAAAGTAATTTTGGAAAATGCTAGAAAAGAAATGGCATTTATGCGTACTTTAATTCAAAATATGGATACAAGTAGTGTTGAAAATCTTATTTAAAAAATATTAAAAAAGAAAAAACAAAATACAAATTATATTTATCGTGAACATATTCAAAAAATGATATTGGTTTGAAACAAAAAAGTATAAATATTTAACAATTTACAAAGAAAAATGTATTTATTATGAACATAAAGTAGAAGAGAAAAGTTTAAAAATGTATAACTATAAAAACTAAATTATCTATTTTGACTTTTATCAAAAATAAAATGAAGAACAATAATATATTTATGAAGAAAATATAACTATTGTAATGATATTATACAAAGAAGTATTCTAATTATTAATATAAATACTATAAATTATATTTATAATACATATATTATATAAATGTATATGTATATATATGCTAAAATAATTTAAATTAACAATTTTTGAACACGTTTCCAATGCATTAATAAAACAATGTATATGTTTTCTTCAAGATATTTCAAATTAAAATTAAGTTATTATACAAAAAAATTGATCGAAAATATTCAAAGAAAAATAATTCATCAAAAAAATATTACAAAATTAAACACAACGTTTTAAATAGAAAATATTTTCATTTTAACTATTAACACACAATGATGCAGCTGTTTATTGAACTAATTTTAACTCTATTAACAAAACAAACATTATTATAATTATGTATATATTATCTCTTAATACTGCCGATTTTCTATTTTATAAATAAGTGTTTTAACAGGAAACATTATTTAAAATAATCGTTTTTACATCAAAGTTAAATCTTTTTATAATTTTATGTTTTAAATTTATGTTAATATCGTTTTAGATTCTTCTTATTCATGCGCTAATTGTGTGTTAGTCAAACATTAAAAAAAAATTTAATTCGAAAATATTTTTAGGAAAAGGTTTTTTATCGCTTTGTTCTCCTGACACAAAAGTTTCATAATAATCGTTCTTAATATTAATGATTATTATTAAAATAAAACCAATTAAAAGCAATCTTAAATGTTCAATAATTAGTATTGATTAACGTTAAAAATTCATTTATATAAATATAAAACATATATTGTTTCATGACATTTTTAGCTAATAGTTATAACTTTTAACATAAACGAGGAAAATTCTCATTTGTTTAGCTAGTTTTTGCCTAACAATTTTTGATATAATTTACAAAAAAGTTAGAAAAATATCCAATTTATAAGAAAAATTTTCGAACAAAATTTTGAAAAAAAAAATTTTCGAACAACTAATTCCGTATTTTTAATTTCATTGAAAAACCCAACAACAATAAAACAAATATTAATTTAAAGCAGAATTCAGTTTACCATTTATACTTATACGTTAAAGAGAAAGAACTATGAATCACTTAATTAAACTTATGTACTTCTCAGTTGTGTGATTAAAAAAATTTAAATATTCAAAACAATGTTTCTAAAAAATATTCTGATTACAGAGATTGTGTTATGATTCTTATAAGATTCTTTCGGCATATTTTTTTTTAATCGAGAAGTTGAAAAAACATGGCTAAACAAAAGTTAATCCTTTATATTAATGTAAAGTTAATGTTAAATATTGGTTATCAAATCGCTACTTTATAGTTTATAAGAGATATTTTTCGTAGAATGTATGAAAGAAGGAAAACCAATACATACATGCTTTAACATTAATAATACATGATAAAAGTGATGGGAAAAAATACAGATAAATTGTTACGTGAATATTATTCTTTAAGGATATGGATTTTTTCTTTAAGGATATGTGTATATATACGTATAAATATATATATATCTATAAAACTCTTCATAATTAATTTTCCTGGTCTAATATATAAAAAGTATGCTTTAAAAAATTTTTAAATAATATTTACAAAAAAAAAATCACAAAATGAACCAGTTAATGAAAATAATACAGTATCTGTATGTTATTAAATATTATTGCTAATGGTTGTAATTTAAAGTTTTTTAACAACCATAATTAAAATCCTAAATATATATACCTAGTAAATATTGTGTATAAATACAAAAAAAAAAAAACAGATTTAAAATTTTAACTATAGTTATTAATAGATACGTAATTATGAAAAAAAATTAATAAAAAAACAAATAAATAATATTCATTTAAAATATCCTTTATCAATCCAGCCTGAATAAAACAAAAATATCAAAATTTTAAAGTTAATTTCGATTTTGAATAGAAGTTCTTAAAAGTTTAAAAGTTTTAAGTAAAAACAAAAAAAAAAAATTGAAAAATATTCAAAATTATTGCAAAAAGTTAAAAAATATTTTAATTAAAATTATTTATTTAATAAAAAAAATTTATAAATAAATATATATAAAATAATAAAAAATAAGTTTGAATTTCAATAAATATAAAAAAAACTTAAACACGCAATAATGTAAAAATAAAAAACCCAAATTACAATTTGAAAAACCTTTGCGAATTAAATAAAAAATAACAAAACATAGTTGAAAATTATTAAGTAAAAAATTTGGAAATTTAAATAAAAAATATAAAAGAATTTAATCATTTTTCATACTTTTTATACATTTTTTAATTAATTAATTAAAGTAAATAAATTAAAACGATTTAATATTATTATAATTAGGTTCCTTTTTAAAGAAAATAATTATTAAAATTAATTATTAAATATAATGTTGTGCCACTTTATATATAATTTAAATTTATTATTATTATTATTATTATTATTACAACTATTATTTGGTTTGATTCAATTTATATACATATAATTATTTACAATTTATTACACATTTTTTACATAAGTATTTAATAATTATTTAATTATTTTTATATTTCGTTCAATATTATGTTAAATTAAATTATTTAATTTTTTTTATATTTAAGCTATAATCTTTATTCAAAAACCTATAAAATACTTTTTTTATTATTATTTTAAATAATTAATATTTCAATACTTATTAATGTACATTTGAAACAATATATATATATATATACTATTTGCAATGTTAATTAAAGTTAGTAATTCAATTTACCAAAATAAATTAAGTATGCATAATGAAATCGCGTGTTCAAAAGTAAATTAAAATATAAAAAAATCAAAATATATTTTAATTTTTGTTAACTATTTCGTTTATATGAAATTTATCAATTAAAAAAAAATTTTTTCTAAATGAAACTAAAATTTAATAAATTAAAATTAGTGAGTCATGTTTTATTTTATAATTTAAATATTAACAATTTAAAAGCTTAGTAAAACCATATTATCAAAGACCAAACTTCAATTTTTATATAAAAATTAGAATTATAATTAAATGAAACATTAAAACAAAATATTTTTCTAAATTAAAACACTTTAAATTTTATGTTTCCGAGTTTATTAAAGCTATTGCACATATTAATTTGTAAATAGTATATGTATATTATAAATATTAAAATTTAACAAATTTATTATTATATGTTTATTTTTTAACATATTTTGAATTAACTCTTATAAATATCTGACTTGGATATCCAATTGTGTATTGCATCTCAAAAAAAAAAATAAACTAAACAAAATCTCATTTTATTCCTTTTATTAGGGGTGGTATTATCAGTTAATATGAAATAAAAAAACAATAAATATATTTTAATTACATTGAGTGTGAATGATTGAATTAATATTTATATAAATATTCCAAAAATTGAAGAAAAAGCAAAATAAAATTAGCAACTTGATATCTTAAATCATTGAAAGTATTATTTTTTTACAATTTCTATAAACAGTATTATTTAACTAACAATATTCTAATGTGTTTATTATGCATTATTCGTAATTATCTTAATATTTATTGCAATGAAAATAGAGTGATGTCAATATTTGAAAACAATTAATTTAGAGTAATTTCAGGCGTATCAACAGACATTAAAGTTACAAATGTTGAACGAGTTCATTAAGTAATAACAAAACTCATTATTTTTATTTGCATTTTTAAAGAAATATAACAATTTCAAATAGATTTCATAGTTTCTGATAATATTACTTGTTTTATGAATCTGGAATTATAATATCATATTTAGAAACTAGGTTAGTTTTTGTTTACTTATATTCCCGACATGAATATCGACATTTAGATTTTATTTAAAAATAAATACAAACTCACCGACATAAAAATAAACCAGAAAAAGCTAAATCAAATCAAATAAATTAAAAATATAAAAAATATTCAAACAAAATTACTAGCTTTATCTCAGTTTTTTTCTTAGAATTTATTTTCATATTAAAATTATATAAGCGCATAAAATAATTGAAATATTTAAAAATTAAATTCAAATATTAAAAATAATAACAAATTTTATATATTATCTTGCCTAAATTAAAAGTTTAGAAACAGCAAAATTTACCAAATTTTCGGAATTTTTTTTCCAATAAAAAAATATTTTTGTAAATCTAAGTTGAATGCATTTTTCGGCATTTATTTTCACCAAAAAATAATTTTAGATTTTTTTTTTATTTTTTTAACATAATGCTTATATTATATTATTATCTTAGACTTAAATGTATCCTCTATATTGAAAACCATTTTTTATTTAATCTGTACAAGAATTTTTTTTTTGTATTAAAATGTTCATTTTTTATTTTTGTTTTCTGTAGTTATTTACAAAATAAATATACAAATATATACATATTATATATTTTTTCAATATAAAATTAAATAAAAAAAAAATTATAAAATTTATTATAATTATAAAGTTATTAAAAAAAAAAGTTATTAGCAAATAGACAAAAAAAAAAACAAAAAAGAAAAAAAAATAAATAAATAAAAATTATTTTTAAGGTTGCTTGCAAATATATATTATATATAAATAAAAAATAATACACCTACTAATAAAACAGAAATAATTTAAAATTATACTTGAATTTCTTTCTTTCATTTCTAATGGTTTTTTCAGATCTTTTATCTTTCAGTTTTATTGTAATATTTTTTCAAACTTGCCTAGGTCCATAGGTTCGTAATTAGGTAAGTAAGCTTTAATTAAATGTAAGCTTAATCTCAAATCCAAAACTTTTTTAATTAAATTACACATCTCTTAATATTTTCATTTCGTACACAGATGTTTAGAAAGGCTATTTCGTTTAGGGTGAGAAAAACAAAACGGGAAAAAAATCGTTGAATTTTATTTTAATATAAAACTGCTTTTATTCCGATCGTTATACAATATAAATGTGCTTTTAAACTGTTAATTGCAAAAATGTATTTTAATTTTAAATTCTGGATAACCCTTCCATTTTCCTCCAATTGTTAAATATATAAATAAATTTTGCGATTTATCAATTATATATTATATAATAATATATTATTCGTAATAAACACTTTAATGTTTCTTCACAAAATTTGTACCTATATCCTCAAAAGTATTAATATTTTTTTTTCAAAGAAAATACTTCCTCAATTTGCGACAATTCGTAGAATGATTAAAATTTGCGGTCCCAAAAATGTTATACCTGTGAGAAGTTAATCTGCGAATCAAAGGGTAAGTTCCACAAAATTCATCCTTCCGATGGCTAATAAATATGTATTTAAATTACTTATTTTAAAAACCAATGGCTTATAAAATAGAAATTTTTTGCATAAAAATATGAATGTATGTTGAGTCTTTAAAAAATTTATACATTTAATTTATTGTATTTATTATGTTAAATATTTAAATAAGCAATATATATATATTTCCTTATGAAATCATACAGTTTATTTCTTATAATAATTTATTTAATTATTCATACATGAATTTTAATAAAATTATATACATACATAAAATTCTTATCAGTTCTTGAAATGAAAATTTTAATTATATTAATTTATGCAGGCACCTCTATGGTGGCATCATTTTCAATGCATCTCATTTCTTCATCAATTTCTGGACTAATGCCTTGATCATTTTCACTTTGAGGATTTTCTTGGATTCTAGGTTGCGATGGTACTATAACATTTATACCAATAGCGTCTTCATCAATATCACTGTCTCCATTTATAGCAATACTGTTTTGGATATTTCTATCAACACTAATAACATTGTTTCCTTCATTACCATTATTTTCGTTATTTGAATTTGTATTTGTGTCTTCTTCTTCTGCCATGTCATAATCTTCAAATTCGTCACTGCTTGTAATTGAACTATCGCTATAATATGTTGTAGAATTCAATAACCATGAACGTAATTGTGGTCTTGGATCATATTCTTCAGTATTTACACCTATACTTGTTCTGTCCGGGTCATTGCTATCTGTATTGGGCTTTGAGATCTAATTATTAAAACAAAAATAATGAAAGAAACATATATAACAAAAAACTGTTATGAACTGAAAGGGTAGGTAGATACGGATATTCTATACACATCCAACTATCTAGCTGCCCCTTATATTCTTTGAAGTCGGAATGCCAATTATGAATTGATTTCTCTGTCCTTACATTTTTTTTAATATAATAATTTTTTATACAAGCCTTATTTTTTTTGTACAAACTGTAGTTAAAAAAATGCATTTATCATTATTTTTCAATTTACCATAATTGACATTATCGATTAGGATATTTTGGTGCATATAGATACTTATTCTGTACATATTACAATATACATTTATTATAAGCTATGATTTTAAACTAACCTTTTTTAAATTGATTTCAAATCTATTTTTGCCATAATTTCTTAATTTAAGCAATAAATCATAGTGTTGTTCTACTCTTTGTAGGCATGGTTCACAAATTGTTTTTGGTAAATGATCATTTGGCGATATCTAGAATCACAGAAATATACATTATAGTAGAATCACAAATATTTTCATTTTACTATTACTGTGATTGGCAAATATCCATTGATTTTATCAACTAAATTTAATTTTAATCCTTGATCTCCATATACATGAATTACGACCTACAAAAATAAAATTTATTATTTTTAATGTTATATTGATTATATTTTGTAGCTCTCGAACCAAAATATAAAGTAAAACTTTTTAGCACTTACACGATGCATTTCTGAACATAGTCGACATAAAAAACCTGATATGCAAGCTTTATCAATACTTCCCATGTTAACACAAAACTATTAATTTAATTTATGTCTAAGTTATCTAAAATATTAAAATAAAACTAGGTTCCTTTTTCCAATAAATCAGTTTAAAAAACAAACAAAACAAATATTTTATGTGAAAGAATCGGAATGCTGCTATTGATGGAGTAAAATAAATTTACACAATATATAAGGGCTACCGTTGAAAATTTATTAAAACAAAAAAAACTTATTGTAAAATGGTTTTCCCAATAACTTATTAATTCATTAGACAATCGTATATTTCTTTCAGTAAAATTAATAACAAATATTTATTTCATTTACAAAACAATTACAAAATTAAATGAATTTTATGCATAAATTAGAAACTAATATTGGATTTTGACAAGAGAGAAAATTTGAAAAAAAGGAGTAAAATATGACCAATTTTATAACGGTAACTTTGTTTTTGATGCCATTGATAAAATGTCAAAACAAAAATCAGCCTTTTGAAATATTACATATGTAATATGTTTATCAGGGATACGTTGAAATGTACAGCTGCCAAAAATATTTGTGAGGAGCTTCTTCCAACTTAAATAAAATTTTGTTTGCCGTGATAAAAACAAAAATGGCACAAGTAATTTCGAAATGGTAAAATTTCAAAAATCTATTTTGTAATAATAAACTTTATCATGAATATTATATGTATGCATGTTGCCGAAGGTGGTAATATGCTGGCACGATCATATATATATGTATGTATATACAAACATATACGTTCCATTATTTAAACTCAAAATGTGTCTGAAATGGAAGTATAAAATTTTTAAAAATAATTCAAATAAAGTTAACCGCGGTTTAATGTTTTAGGTTCTAATTTCTTTCTAACAATAGCAATCTAATAATTTCTTTCTAGTCCCTTTTGATTTGAACAAAATAGCGGAAATAACAAATATATACAATTTGTATATATATAACTTAAATAATATTTAAAAAACTAAACAATTTATTAATACATTCTTATGTCTGTACTGGTTTAGGCAATAATCAGTTTTATATTTTGTGTTTTAATACATATGTATGTATGTAGGTACTTAATATCATATACAATAAAACTTTTACTTAAATAAAGTTTGTGCCACAAAAATTATCTAAATTTTGTAATATGTAACGTATTATATAATATTATATATATAATTTTAAATTATAACCAAATACATAGTGCATGTATAAACAGTAGTATGCATTTATATTTATGTTTGTAAATAGATTTTGTTAAAAATTTTACGTTTTACAATATTTTAAGTGTACCTAGTTATAACTGAAATTTTTATACACACACACATATTTTATGTATATTATATATTTTGTAATTTTACATTTTTATACATTATTTTAATAATTATACCTTTATCAATATTATAAATATTTCTAATATTTTTTACTTGTACACATATATTTTTATATTTACATTAAGCTGATATATCCATATGTATATTCAATATAAATAAAATAATATATTATGTTTTTGCTCTTATTATATTAATGTATTTTTGATACAATTTACTACATCAATCTATTAGAACATACATATACAGATACATATACAAACAAACATAATAAAAACATAATAATAAACATGCCTTTCTGTACTAATTTCGAATTGAATTTTATACTACATTATTATATATTTATATATAATTTGGTTGTATATAATACGTACATGTGAATGTGGACATGCATATTATAATATATAAACATATATTATAACATATACATAATATATAAACATATGTATATTGGAAAAGGATATAATTTTCTTAGTGTTATTTTTGCATTTTCAATTCACAAATATGTATACATATAATAGCAATATCCATATTTAATATTATATAATATATACTCAATATCTATAAATACATACATATTTACATACATTATATAAAAAATATGAAAGCACTGATATAAAAGAATGCATAACATGTTATACATAATGTGTATGTGTGTGAGTATAGATAATTTAAAAATTTTAGACGAAATAAATATAAGGGGGAGGATAAAAGAAGGATAAATAACAACAATAATAAAAATAATAATAAAAGAAAAAAGTATATAGAATAAAAGAGAACATTTTGTCCTTTTTTTTCGTGATTGTTTTTCATTTTCCTTTTTCTTTTCCATTTTTTACTTATATTTTACATTGCATTAAGTATATGTAGGTATGCATGTATATATAGAAGAATAAAAGAAAAAACATGATAAAACGAAATAAGAAAGTCTGGGTAGGATAATTTTTTTTTTTTTCGTTTAAAAACGGTGGAAAATTAAATAGTTGAATTTCATATGGATTTTCCTTGTGGAAGAGTAAACAAGTTATTTTTTTTGGTGATAATTTTTGTTAAATAAAATACAAAAAAAATAGTAATAATATAATATTTACAATATTCTCGACGACGCATATCTTAATTTTCCTTTGTTACAAAGAAATCACAATATAAGTATTTTATTATTGTGCAAGCATTTTATTTCAAAGTTCATATTATATACAAACAAATGTAAATACTTATTTATTATATTATTGTCCTTAAATAAAAAGAAAAAAAAATATATTGTATATATATATTAGTGCAAACAAAATAGTAGGTACACGTAAATTTTTTTAATTCAATTAACCTATAAATATATACAAAAAAAAAAATTAATAAATTAAATTAAAAACATTTTCATTATATAAATATAAAATTAATAAATTGAGAAAACTAAAAAAAGAGTAAAGAATAAATAACAATCATTATTAATATTATCGTATAAATATAATTAATATGTAAATCGAAAAAATTAATAAAAACCATGAAATTGTTATGAAAATTTATAATTTAATTTAATAATAGTAATTGAATATAAGAGTATTATTTAATATTTTTATATATCAAATGTGTATATATATAGTATATGCATGTACTCATTTTGAAAATCAGGTGCTCTTCATGAATTTTATAAAAAGTAATTGTTTACAGAAAAAATTAAATGAATTTATAAATATAAATCGTGTGTGATTTATTAATTTTATAGTGGTATATAATATACCAAATAATGCCATATCTCTATGAACATATGAATATATGTAAATAAATTAATTTAAATTTTTCGTCATTTTTATTGCATTTTCCTAATTTTTTTAAATAAAAATATTTTATGAAATATTATTTAAAAAATTTAAAAAAAAAATTTGCGTTTTAGATTTTATTTTATTTATGAAAATTATATACTCGTATTTAATAATGAAATCATATTAAATTTATATATATATACAAATGTAATAAAAAAATAAACACAAAATAAAAACGAAAACCCTTAATAATCGTAAAGATATCAAACAGGTTCTTTTCTATTTTCCTTTTTTTTTGTTTATAAACATAAAAAAATTCTTATATTATATAAAAATTTTATTCATGAGAAACAATAATAATGATGATAAAGAAACAATAAAATACTATACAGAAAAAATAAAACGAGACAAGAAAAAAATAAGAAATTTTAATAATCAAATTTGAAAGGAGCGACCTTTCCTAAAAATTAAGAATATTACATGTATACATGCACACTAACACACGATATTCATTTTGATTATATTTTTTATTTACAATATATAACAATCCAGACGATTCTTTAAATAATAATCACGTCTCCCAAATTTTCGTTATTATATTCTCTTAAAGGTCTTTAAATACAAAACGAAAGTCAATGAAAATTTTTTTATTGTTACTTTAATAAATTAAAATCAAATAAAATTGCTTTAATATTATGCGATATTTTGCGTATACTTTAAATATTTTAAAAAACATAATATAAATATTATATGTAAAATAATAACCTTCATATAGAATCATAAAATCGGAAATTTTGGTGAAAAACATAAGATTTATTACATAGAAGGACCAAAAATTATACTACAGTATATAACGTCAAATTAAAATAGAAATTTAATATATTAACAATTTATCGCATATTTCAAAAAATAATAAAAAAAAATTTTTAATAAATGAAAATAATTGAAGATTGGAAGCGATAATATCAAATATAGCAACAGCAACATAATAAAGTGGAAATTTGAAGAAAAGGAAAAACATAAAGTTGGAATATTTCAAGGACTTGTCGTTGTTTTTTACTACCACAACAATCTCCTTACTTACTTCTCCTATTTAGAAGGTATAGTATTCGTCATTTATTGTATATAATTATTTACATATTTAATTTTTTTTTTATAAATAACTTAATATAACTTAATTTATTTTGTTTGAAAAAGAATTAAAGTTTGGGCTAAACCAATGGTTTGCAAAGTAGCATTTTTCCTTGAACAAGTGAAAATACGTGAATTCTATTATATTTTATATTACTGTTATTCTTATACATAAAAAGAAACAAAACACATAGAAAGTTAGCATAATGGTCAAATGCAAGGGTCAATGCCTGAGCTATAAGATAAATAAGTTTTTAATGTCATATGGTGCTTTCCGTCAGCATTTCACGCTTGTATAACTTTGTAGTGCTAGAAATTTAAGGTGCCGAAAATTCTAATATTACTAATTTTAGCTGGTTATAACTTTCAGAGGGTTGGAGGTAGGGAAAAAATTTTTCCAACGGAAATAAGTTTCTAATAAATAACTACATCTTTATGTAAAATTTCAGTTGTCTTAAAGGGTGTAGAAGTGAACAGGTACACGAACGGCACAATGGAAACAAATTAGCACTTTTTTTCAAAATTTGTTTTGGGAAAATTTTAAAAAGAAAAAAATAAAAATCAAATTAGTTTCAATTATTTTGTTTCAATTATTTTTATAGATTAGATTTATAAACGTGCCTAAAGTTTTCTTTATAGGAAAACAAATAGAAACCAATCAAGTGTTACTGATATTTTAATCAAATTTTGATTATATTGTTTTTTTTTACATTTTATATTTATTAGTTATAATTTATTCACTGAAAGCATAATTCAATATTGTGGTTTTAAGTTTTTATATTTAAATATATCAATTTAGAATTTTCTAGAAAAACATAAAATAAAAGAAATTGATATTATTATCTAAAAATAAATATGCTATGTTTTCTTTGTACTAATACTATTTTTTTTTTAAATAATTCCTTTAAGCACAATTTCAATAAAATGTTTACTAAATATTTTAAAGTAAGCTCGCATTTTGCTGTTTTCCATAATGCGGTGGAAATGATGTCAAATTCTTTCATAGTAACATAGATGTGACCCAATATAGCTGGGACAACAAAAAATATTTTACATTGTTTATTAAAATTGTGTAAAATTATTTTATTTATGGGCTTATATTGTATATTTACAATATTATTTTTAATATTATTAAGTACGGAGAAGAACAAGGGTATATTCGTATGTTTATTCTTTATAAGTTTTTTTTGAAATTCGAAATCGTTTTCTGAAATTTATTATTTTTATTACAGATAACTAAAAATTAAAATTCAATTTGATATTTTTTCTTTACCCTTTGATAATTGTTATATTGCTTACACTTGTAGAGTCAAATCAGCGAAACAGGCGACAAATAAATTTTTTATGTAAAAAATTCTTCATTAAAAATAATGTCATTTGTTTCAATGTAATTAGCATACGTTTTAGAATCAATCAAACTGTCATATATTCATCAATCCACTTATATATATAGATTTGTCGATTATATGTTAGTGATTAAGGGTTAGTAGTTAAGGGTTAAGAACATTTTTATTAAATACCTTAAAACCTTGTTGATGTTATTGAAACTTTTCAACGCTATGTACTCTCAGATCCTAGGTAGCTTGAAGAGGGCTCGTTGCAAAGGTCCCGATGGCAACTTTAAAAGTGGTAAGAAAGGTGTGTTACAGATATGTCTGAACATAACATGAAAAAAATTAAAATTTTAATAACTGCTGTACTAGAAAACCTAGTGAAGTGGGAGAGGACTCGTTGGGAAAATCTCGGTATGATAGTTTCAATCCTATAGCTTCAATCCTCATGCTCACCAACATGAGGGGGGCCTTTACTTTCCCTTCTTAAAATATTTTCCTCTTTAACAATGACAGGGAGGTTAGTTTGAGCCGTAAAAAGAATACTAATTTTTGTTTACAAAACATTAAGAGCAACCATTTCTAAGCATTTACTAAAAACAGAGCTTTTATATACCTAGTTTTATAATTAAATTCAATTTATTTTCGCAAAAATATTTTTCAAATTGCCAAGAACAAGTTTAGTGATTAATTTTTATAAAAATTAAACAAAATTGTTATTTTAAATTAAATTGCATTTATTTATATAAAATTTTCGGCAAAGTTTTAACTTTTCTGTGTTTTTTTTTTGTTTTGAAATTAAATTTTCATTACAATTTAATCAATTAATCAATATTTGGGCTTGAAAAGCTTTTAAAATATTTAAATAATTAATTTTTCTTATATCTACATTTTATATGCGTATAAACGAAATGTTTCTTATCCACCCACGTATACAAGACTTCTAGTTAAAATATTTTCAAAGTATGCTTCACAATATTAATGAGAAAAGAAATCCTTATAGATACAAAATTGTATGTATAAAAATATTTATGTTAAGATACCTGTTGAGTAATTTATTGTTTTTTATTTTTATAGTCAGATAGAGGAAGCAAGAAACTGAAAAGATTTTAATCTATGGAAAGAATAAAACTGACAATTAAAATTATGATGGTATTTAAGATGGATTTATTCGGTTGCGTGTGTATAAGTTTTTTTTTATATGTTTAATATATTGAAAATCTTAAGTTTTTACTTGTACTAATTTAAAATATAAAAACTTTGCTCAAAAAATCAAATTATTACAATCGTGACTTAAACCTCATTGTGCTTTTATACACTGTCAGATAAAACTTAATATGAATTCAGTAAAATCACATTATAAGCTCTACTTGGAGTCAAATAATTTTGTATGGGTCTTATATGGTATGCTCAATGAGAAATTTGAAATTAATGTTAATTTATACATAGTACCAAAATACATATGATTATGTACGTGTGTATATATTATAAAAATCATATATGTATATAATTATAAAAAAATCTATGCCAACATCTTGAATCACTACAAATAAATATGATTATTTTGCAATTTAGCAGAATGCCGGCTATAGTATTCATTAAAATAAATTTTACTTTGAATTAACAAATTATTAATACTCCAACTTTTCTTATATCTACATATAAAACTCTATATACATGTACATACATATGTATGTATTGGTAAAATTATATATATACAGGGTGGTGGGAAACTTGTTTGACATGAAAATTAACGTATGTATAATGAAGTTGTAGAGAATTATTTTACGTATCGAAAAGATTAGTAAAGTCTTCTGAGATAATTAACAATTTTTGAAAAATGTTGAATTTTCTAACTTAAAATATCATTCTCAACCCGTTTTTATTCGAAAACCGTAAACCTTACATTAACCGTCAACATTACTGTTTTACAGATTTTTTTTATTAGACTTTCTTTCAATCTAAAAATAAGAACAATTTTTTCCTACAAAAACTCTATAAAAATTCAAACTCCCAAGAGCTATATACCACCGCCTTCAAACCATCCTGTTTATTATATAATTAGTAAAATTAAATTTATATTATGTAGAAATTATAAATTCTCAAAATGATTTTGTTTTTAATGTGAGTACCTATACAAAAGTTTCGTGCGAATAATATGACGATAAAAAAGATTTCAAAATGATATCAAACCATATATAAAAATATGTACATGTATAAAATTTGTTCAATAAAAATTTTCAAGGTCATTTGAATTTATTATTATAGTATCAAGAATAACACAGTCAAATAGAGTGCGTGTTTTTAATTGTGGTTATTATAAGTACCTAAGCATATTTTTAATTAAAATTTTTATACATAAAAATTATTATTCATAAACATGGAGTATTGGAAATATTAACGTTTTAGATGAAATAGGCTTTTTTGACATTATATTTTATAAGATTGCCTGTCTGCCAATATTATGTTTAGTTAGATACAAAGAACAGAAAAACATAGTTTTTTTTTTTTTGAGCACATTTTCCCAAATGTTTTTCTCCTGTATATCTGACAGTGTATACCAAAAAATTTAGTAAGCATATGTAGGCGCTGGCGTTGCTTGTGGATCATATTGTCGAATTATACAAAAATTGTAATTACTAAAAATTTAAATGAATTTTAAGACTTATAATTAAAATGAATTTCACATCAGTTATGTCATTTGTAAAGGTACCTTTACAATGTAAATTTATTTTAATGTAAAATTATTAGTTTTCTTTTCAAAGCTTTGTTAATAATATTTTTTATGAAAAGAAACCGAAACCATAAAATTGTCCGAATTATTTTTTTAATGAAAAAAAAAATACTAATGAAAAATTTTAGTAAAATATTTTTCACATAATGTAAATAAATTTCTAAGAAAACTTTAAATAAGAAACAATGAACATGTAAAACGAAAAAAATGGTCCCCAAAATATAACCAACGCATTTTCATCTACATATATACATACCTACATATTCTATTTAAATTCTCCTTCTTTAAATGTCACTTTTACAAATTTAGATCCTTTTAGCACTATTTTCTTTTTATGGTAATATTTGAATACCTAGATTCAAATAGTTTTAAAGAATAAAAAAAAATTTGTGTTTAAAAGATTTTTTTTTTTGCTTTTTTTTCTGTATTTAAATGATATATGATGCAAAAGGACGAAATATTCTTTAATCTGAAATTATGTATTCACCTATAATCTCATCCTCCTTATATTTTCATATAATTCTCAATATATACCTGTACTTTCTCTGTTCTAACATTTCTATGAATATTAAAATTTATTTTATGTAATTGTGTTGATGTTACACCTTAGCATATTAAGAAAATAGGTACGATAGGGCGGGTATATAAGTATAGGGTTTATGATGTGATAAATGAAATTACATATATGTTTATATCTAGCCCAATATGTTATGTTGATATATGCAAATATTTTATATATTTATAATGAAAAATAATCCTTTAACAAATAGTAAAGCACATCGTATTCTAAAAGTTTAGTATGCTATATTGCATATCCCCAAGCAAGGATACTCTGATGACTTTTTATTTAAAGAAAATTTTCTTTTTTTTTTCTCCTATTTTCTTTTCTCCATATTTTCTTATC